TCTGGCAAATATATTGGTGCTACTGCACATTGTCTTAAAACAAGGATCAAGGAACATAAATACTCCATTCGAAAAGGTCTTTCCACTACAGCATTGGCTTCTTATGCCATTGACAACAACATCAGGGTGGACTTTGATAATGCATGATTACTACAATGGTGCGAGGACCAGGCTAGCCTAAAATATCTCAAACAGCTGAAGATATTTAAAGCCTTCAAGAGGGGAACGGCCAACAATTTTAAAGAAATGGACTCGCTGGTGGCTGCATGGAGGCATATTTTGATGTGAAATAGATCATCATCAAGTTTATACGTAAAAATAATAAAATTCATGCCTGGCGTTATTTACATTTAATACATAAAATATAAATATGACTTTTTAACAAAGTTAAAACTTTGTGTCTGTCCTCCTTTTTGCCGTTTTCACCGTCAACAATCCTTTAAAAAGTTCACAAAATTACGGAGACGACTTTCCTTTTGAGGATGACTTAAAAATGTATTATTGTGAACTAGTAGCCTGAGACGCCCCCTAGTGGGCGTTATTTACAAATTGCCATTACCCGTTGAATGGGTTAATAGATATTAAAATATTACCTTAACTATTTCAAACCTTATCGTCTTACGTACTGATTCAAACCTATTCGGTTTTTCGTTATTCGCCCCCTAGTAAACATTACATGCATTCCGTGACAACAATAAATTCCTATTACAAATATACTGAATTATTTATATTGTTATATTGACCAAATAATAATTTATTGGCCAAATGAATAATAATAATTTATATTGTTAATTTAAATAATAATTAAAATTGTTAATTTAATTTGAATGTTTGAAATATGACCCACGATAGGGGCGCCTCTAGTGTCTGTTATCAAACGGTTACGGGACGGACGGACAGATACCTGTTGAATGGATTATATATACATAGATGTGGCAAGAACGCCAGAGGACATTTTGTTACGGAGGTAGTAGCCTCAAAACGAAGGTCGTCTCCGTAATTTTGTGAACTTTTTAAAGGATTGCTGATGGTGAAAACGGCAAAAAGGAGGGCAGACACAAAGTTTTAACTTTGTTAAAAAGTTGTACAGTGGTACCTCGAATAACGGATGCTGCGAACAACGGACTTTCTGTTTGGCCGTTACGTGACTCGAGCAACAGACTGGCTTCGAACGACGGACTTTCCGTTCAGCAGTTACTTGAGGCAAACATTGGTCTTTCTGCGAACAAGTGTAAATGATGTTCTCCCACTCTTTTGCTGTTGCCAATGACAATCTGCTATTTTTATAATATATTAGTATTATTAAAATATATTATTAGTATATCTGAAGTACAGAGCTTCCATTGAGATTCTGCTTGCTCCCTTGTTTATTACGTACATCACCTCAGTGCAAGGTATTCACATTTATTCAAGTGTTGTGCAAATTATGGCTTCTAAAAAACAGAAAGGTGATTTCAATTGAAACAAAGCAAGAAATCATTAGAAGGAGTGAAAGTTGACAAAAACTTCGTTGTCAAATGGGGAGAGGTTCAGGTGTTTACCAACACTCATTATCCAAACAGAGCTGAGGCCAACAGGATCAATGATCTCGACAATGACACCGTTGCTTGTCATTTTCGACAGGTGTTGAAGAAGAGAGAGAAACAGACCATCTTGGACATGTTTTTCAAGAAGCCAGCTGCCAAAAAACAAAGGATGGAACAAGAGGAGATGACCCTGCAAGCTCCAGTAGCCTCTCCTGAATCTAACTCCGATTAAAAAACAATAAAAAGAGACCTGCTGCAATGTGTAAAAAGTCTGTATCTGTATGAATGTGTAAAGAAAGTGTTCCTCCACCTCCTCCTCACAACATCTGACTACCTGGCATAATTGGTGACTGCTCCATTTTCATTTTTTATGGTACAGTATGGTTATTTTATGTTGTGGAACGAATTATATCTTTTAACATGTATTTCTATGGAAAAATGCGTTTCATATAATGGATTTTTCACTTAACGGACGTGCACCTGGAATGTATTAGGTACGTTATACGAGGCACCACTGTATTTATATTTTTATGTATTTATCTTTATAATTTATGTAAGCATTGAATTTAAGAGAATTAATGCTGGTTATAGGTAATTGCTTATTTGTTTATTCATCCTTCAGTTGCAATTATATCTTGATTTTGAAGGGTGCTTGACTCAGGTCCGGCATAGTACACAGCCACAGGTGTGAACCGAGTATAACTCACAAAACCCAACATAATAATCATATTTTTAAATTATTTAATGTAAAAATCTATGCTTTATCTAATGTTAGTAGTGGCTTGCCACCTGCACATCATGCTTTTCCTTTAACAATAAAGTCATACTGGTCATCTAACTAACACCTTTCAGGGGAAATGTTTGAATTAAAATAATGTGACTTGGTTTGATAGTTTGCATTAGAAGTTCATATATAGTTAACTGGAGCCTCATGCCCCTAAGGTTTTCATATCTGGTCTCGTCTTTCATGTATCTAACTCTATTCTTAAGTTAAGGGAAGACAGTGGAAATTTATAGGTCTGCAATTTTTTTAAATTGCAGCTCAATCACTTGACACCAGCAAGACTTGAGAATGTCCCCACCAAATCACTGTAAATAATAGATATTTTAAAAGTATTAAGTGATTGTGCAATTTTCGACTTTAATTTTCTCTCTAAATTTTGAGTGTTGTGTCTTACTGCTTAGTGCATGTCACTTATTGGGAATGTATTATATCCTCACTAAGTTTGATCAAAATCCATAACCCCAACATTATGCCATTCTCTCATTAGATAAAATTGGAATCAAACTGATAAAATCTTCAAGTTTCTGCTTCTTAATACTGGTAACTTTTAGACTATGTACAGAATTTGGATAAGAAGTTTGCAATTTTAATAGTTTAATCCACCAGTAGTGTTGTTTCAATTTTGCATAATAGTACAATATATAATAAGTATATCTATCTAAATATACTTAAATTCAACTACACTAAAATATCAATTATAAATACAAGGGCAGGCTGAAAAGTAATGCACACATGCTTGTAGAGCACAAATGAAATGATTTTCAGAAGCATGCCAGGTGGCATATGGAAGTAACATTTCCCCTCTATGTGCATGCACAGTTTGAGGTTGTTGTGTTCATTCAGTATATTTTGAGAAGCGGAAATATGGAGACATGTTCTGGTGCTATGTCAACATGAGTTAAACAGCATGCTGTTATTGAATTTTTAACTGCTGAAAAAATTATGTTTACAAGCTGTTAATGTTGATGATGCTGTTGATAGGTCTATTGTAAATTGATGGATAATAAAATTTTGTGGTTGTGAGCCTGGAAAAGCCATAATTGTTGATGAAACATGCAGCGGAAGTTCGATCACTGCCACAGACAATTACCATTGCACCTTGTTGCAATGTTTAATTCTTCTCAGTACATACAGACTCTAAGACATCTCTGACGTTGAGTTTGACATATTAGAGGCAGCCTGGCACCAATAATCTTGCAACATGACAACGCTGTTCACACAACTCGCGCGCAACTGGAGAGGCTCTGCAAAACCTAAAGTTTGAACCGATTCCACACCCTCCTTATTCCCCTAATCTTGCTCCTTGTGATTTTTATATGTTTCCTCTACTTAAGAGAGACCTCAAGGGTAATCATTACACCGCAGACAATGAGCTGAAGGCAGCTGTCAAGTCCTGGATTCGAGAAAAGTCAGAAGAATTTTTCAGTGACGGAATGAAAAAACTTGTTACATGTTGGGAGAAATGTGTTAGTCATCATTAAGGCTATGTTGAGAAATAAATATACGATTTTGAAGCTTAAGAAATGTACTTTAATGCACTTTTTGCCTGATCTTGCTATTTGTTTTTGTTCGTGTTCTACAAGCATGTGTGCATTACTTTTCAGCCTGCCCTCGTACTTACGACTATGTTTTTTGCTCTATTTTAACTCAAGTATTAAATAAGCAATGCTGAGAATAAATTTTTTTTTAATACAATGACTTATTCACTTTAAAATTATAAATTATCCTTTGATTAGGTGAATTGTTATTACTATATCAATTAAGCTTGCTTGCTTATTAAATTAAGAACCAAATTCTTAAACTGGTAACATAGATGTGTTTTCGGTATTTATTTAATATTGAGAACAGAACTGTAAATGACCATTACTTAAATAAATTAATGAAGAAGAGTTAGATCAAATTGTTATCAATTTACCAGTGTGAATCTGTCAACTAATAGTTAGTTTTTACTATTTTTAATGAAATTTAAAGTAATTATTGAATTTAATTTATAAAATTTTTTAATTTAAAATTATATTTCACTCCTAATCACAAAATATGTATTTATACATGATTTTAAAAGTATTACTTTATAGATACACATATATAATAGTACATTTTGATTTAATTGTTTTATGTGGCTCTGATCTCTGTTTTCATGGAAAGTCATTTCAGAACCAGTTTTATTAATATTTTAGTTTGTTTTAAAAACCATAGTTTTTCAAAAATGTTAAAAGTTTAATTTTGTTAATATTTTGATTTCTTAAGAGTTTCATTATTTGGCTTACAACTTTTGAAATTGCGGTGTCATTTACTTTCTCCATAATATGTAGTTGTGTGAAACAAATTATTTATTACTTAATGAAAATATTACCATTTCATCAGAAATATTTTTGTTATTGATTTGCTTACATGATGGTAGTTTTATAAAAAATAATCTGTTTGACAACTAATTATTGGGCTTCGTAACTGGAAGTTTGCTGTTTTTTGTTTATGCATATTCAATATTCTATAATACATATTATGGAGAGAGTCATGACAATCATATAACCTTTTTTTAAATTACAAAATTGACAATGTTAGTTGTCTGGATTCTAATTTTCCATTAAAACAAATATTTATTGACATTTATTATAAATTACTATGAGCAACTATTTTAGTTATTATAAAATTAAAATTTTAAATATTCATTAAATTATATTTAATTTCAGTTATTCCTGCATTGAGATGGAGACAGAAATAAGTAGGTGTTTTAGTTTGATTTGATTTGCTTACAAATGATATTTTTCCAAACTCAAAAAATAAAAAAAAATTCCAAATAAATTATTATATAGTTTTTTTTTTTGAAATTTGATAAATATAGACTAGAGTAATCAAGAATCTGATATGTGAAATTTTAGTTATAAGATTCTTCAAATTGTCCTACCACAAAGCTCTTTTCTGCTATATACTATAGTAATAGATAATACAAGTAATAATATCTGCTGTTACTGTTATTTATTTACATTGTAGAGTTGAAGCTTGAGAAAATTAAAAAACACTATTACATTTTTAAAACAAAATTTTTTATATTATTAGATATATATATATATCTTAATTTTGTACTTTTTAACATTTTCGAGAATGATATATATATATAT